TTGGAAAGCTGAGGCTGGAAGACTTCAAGTCAGAAGCCATCCTGGACCACATGGCGGCACCCTGCCTCAAAGTCAGAACAAAGGGCAACAACAAAAGGCAGGACTCGTAGGACATGCCTTTATGCCAGCACTCAGGAATCATAAATATGAGGCTAGCCTGGGCTACACAGTGAGATCCTTTCTCAGAAACAAAGCAACTCTACCTATCTCATCTATACCTATACTTAACTCCTAAGAGCAAACCCCAGAAATTATTTCATCTGTAATATTATTTATTACTCCAGCAGATAAGGATCTTTTTTTTTTTTTGGTTTTACGAGACAGGGTTTCTCTGTATTGTTTTGGAGGCTGTTGGTCCAGCCCGGCCTCGAACTCACAGAGATCCGCCTGCCTCTGCCTCCCGAGTGCTGGGATTAAAGGCGTGCAGCACCACCACCCGGCGCAGATGAGGATTCTAAAAAACATGATTTTGATACTATTATTACCATCCATAATCTTTAAATAGTACCTTAATTTAATCAAATGTCCTGTGTTTGCATCTTGGTACTGGGGATGTAACCCTGGGTGGTTACATGCTATGCAAATACTCTACGTCCCTGGCCCTGGTTTACATTTTCCCTCGTGTGTGTGTGTGTGTGTGTGTGTGTGTGTGTGTGTGTGTGTCTGTCTGTCTGTCTGTGTCTGTGTGTGTGCGTGTGTGTCTGTGTGTGTGTGCGTTTATGTCTGTGTCTGTGTGTGTGCACGTGTGTGTGTGCATGTGTCTGTGTGTGTGCGTGTGTGTCTGTATGTGCGTGTGTGTGTCTGTGTGTGTGCACGTGTGTGTATGTGCGTGTGTCTGTGTGTGTGCGTGTGTGTCTGTGTGTATGTGCATGTGTCTGTGTGTATGTCTGTGTCTGTATGTAAGTGTGTGCGCGTGTGTCTGTATGTGCGTGTGTCTGTGTGTGTGCATGCGTGCATGTGTGTGTCTGTGTGTGTGCGCGTGTGTGTCTGTATGTGCGTGTGTCTGTGTGTGCGTGTGCCTGTGTGTGTGCATGCGTGCATGTGTGTGTGCGTGTGTGTCTGTGTGTGTCTGTGTGTGCGTGTGTGTGTCTGTGTGTGCGTGTGTGTCTGTGTGTGCGTGTGTCTGTATGTGCGTGTCTGTGTGTGCATGCATGCGTGCATGTGTGTGCACGTCTGTGTCTGTGTGTGTGTGTCTGTGTGTGTCTGTGTGTGTGCGTGTCTGTGTGTCTGTGTGTGTGTGTCTGTATGTGTGCACGTGTGTGTGCGCACATGTGACTGTATGCATGTGTGTCTGTGTGCGTGCGTGTGTGTGTTTGTGTGTGTCTGTGTGTGTGCGTGCATGTGTGTGTGTGTGTGTACACGCGTGTGTGTGCAGTACTACCAGCCTTGCCTTGACCTTGCTCTGTAGCTGGTATCTGAGGATGACCTTGCACTCCTGGTCCTCCTGCTTCCACCTCCCAAACTCTGGGATTACAGGTGTGTGCCACATGGCCAGATATTGCTGTAAGATTTTTAATAGCTCTTTTGTTCAAACCAATGAATACACATTCTACTTGGCTATCTATTGAATTTCCACATATTTTCAAGCTTTCCTTCCTTCATGTAGCTAAGAAATGCTGCAATGTTAGGCATGCAGCTTGCTGTATTCTGGGTTCTGCTGGTGGAATTATAGTGGGGTCATTTAACATGTTCACTATTATACAGTGACTCAGTTTTAAATGCTTGCTGCCAATCCTGCTATAAATATGACTTTATCCATCTGTCATCAGCATGCTGTTGCTCTTGTAGTCCTCACTAATGGCTGTATCCTTTGTAGCATTCTTGAAGCTAGTGATCTCATTCGATCTTCCTAACAACCCCATATGGTTCGTATTATTTTCCCTATTGAGATGAAGAGCACAAAGCTTAAAGAGGTTAAGGAATTTTGACTACAGTTAATTCACCCGTCAATGCCTGAGCTCAAACTCAGGTCTGACTGATGTTAAAAATTGATATTGTTATCCATTGTGTAATAATGTCCCTTTGTATCCCTTTGCCTGATACAAGCCCTTTGCCCAGGCTTCTGATGTTTGGTTGTTTTAAGACTCAAGGAAAGCCGGGTGTTGGTGGCACACACCTTTAATCCCAGCACTGGAGAGGCAGAGGCAGGCAGATCTCTGTGAGTTCGAGACCAGCCTGGTCTACAAGAGCTGGTTCCAGGACAGCCTCCAAAGCCACAGAGAAACCCTGCCTTGAAAAAGAAAAAAACAAAAAGGCTCTAGGAAGTAGTCTTTCAGTCTATCTAAAGAACACTTAGGATGTTTCAGCTCCAAGTAATAGAAAACCCCATCTCAAATGGATTCAAAAGTGAGGATATTTATTATCTCCCACAACAAGAAAGCTAGAAGTAGTACAACACCTGGGCTGGTTGGTTTACTGATTCAACAACAGCATTGCAGATCCCAGTCCATTCTATCTCTTCATTTGGACCTCATCAGTGCAGCTTTGTCCTTCATCTGGAACCTCTGATGGTTATACGATGGCCATTCCGATTTCAAGCCGCATAGCCCATAGAACAACTCCCATCATGAAGACTGCATGTTACTCTATGCACCTATGTTTCAGGGCAAGAAGTTCCTTGACACAGGGGAGGAGACAGGAGCTATGTTAAGAGGCAGGAAGTAGGGGAAAGTCTGTAAAGTGCTGTTTTCTGGACATGCCTGTTGCTCTCATGAACCCACTGTAGTTATTATTTCCTCTGAGATCAAGCAAACAAATTCAGTCAATATTTCAGAATGCAGCACTAATTGGATTCAATGGGGGGCACATAATAGTGAGGGGGAACAGGTTGGGAGGTGTCTGGGAGGAGTAGAAGAAAGGAGTTAGGGATGAATATACATGTATGAGATCATCAAAAAATAATAAAGGGCAAGTCATGTGCCCACTCCTAATGCCATATCGCCCAGGGGAGAGGGTTCTGTTCCCCCAGCCATAATAGGGTTCGGAGCATACCCTGAGATGGTATTAAGGTACCCTTCTCTGATGGATGGATTCTACTGTAAAGAGGAACATGAGAGAGCCAGGTGGTGGTGGTGCACATCTTTAAGCCCAGCACTCGGGAGGCAGAGGCAGGTGGAACTCTGTGAGTTCAAGGTAAGCCTGGTCAACAGAGTGGGTTGCAGGACAACCAGGACTACACAGAGAAATACTGTCTGAAGAAAACAAAAGGAGGAGAAGAAGAAAGTAGACTAGATGTGGGGCAGGCAACCAACAACACCGCTACCTGCTCCCACTGGGGTGTGCTGCATGTTCCTTCAAAAATAATTAAAACACTTCCTTGTACCCGCCACATTTTTATTTTCTGCTATCGGACATTTTCTGCAGCGTGTCAGCTTCTTCATTTGCATGAAGAGGCTGCACTCTTAATTCTCCATCTTCACAGTCCCAAAAGCAATGGAGGTTCTGGGGAGCTGACTCCATTGGTAAAGTGCTTGCCGCTGCACAGGAATGAGGATCTGAACTAGATCCCCAGCACCCACGCAAAATGACAGCTGTGGCTGTGAGTGCCAGGGTGGGGAAGGCAGAAAGGGGATCACTGACCAGCCCCAGCCTCAAAAGACAGAACCTGTTTCAAGAAAAAAGAAAAAGAGAGAGAGAGAGAGAGAGAGAGAGAGAGAGAGAGAGAGAGAGAGAGAGATAGTCAGTCAGACAGACAGACAGATGGCACCTGAGGAATGACACCCAAAGTTGATCTCTGGCCTCCACATATACATACAGATACGTGCATGAGCACCTACACACATGTATACACACATAGAGCAAGCTAAAGTTTAAAGGCAAAACTAGCATGGTAGTACAGGCCTGTAATACCAGAACTTGAAAGCTTGAGGCAAGATTAGGAGTTCAAGGTCACCTACAGCCAGACACCAAATTGGAGGTCAGATTGAGCTATGTAAGACCTTGTCTAAAAAAATTTTTTCTAACTATGGTCTCGAAATGTTGGCAGGTTCAAATTAAGTAATCGGTATGACTGTGTCCTTTCTTCTTTGAAAAAATATATAATGTGAACATTAGATTTGAAGAGCTGCAAAGCCTGGAACTGGTACTATCTTCCCATTAACTTATTTTGTTTGCTTGCTTGCTTGCTTTTTAGTTGCTGCCTCTCCCATAGACAAGGCTGGCCCTGAATAACTGACCCTCCTGCCTCCATCTCCCAAGTGCTCAAAATAAGGGCATGCATCATCACACCCACTATTTGTTTTGTTTCATTTATTTGGTTTTTGAGATGGCCTCACTATGTAGCCCTAGCTTTCTGGGAACTCACTATGTAGAGTAGGCTGGTCTTGAACTCACAGACACCCTCCCATCTCTGCCTCCTAAGTACTGGGATTAAAGGTGTGTGTGACCACACCCAGCTGGTATTTTGCTTTTTGAACTAGCATCTCACATTGTAACCCAGGCTGTCTTGTACTTTACTGTGTAGCCAGGGTAAGCCTTAATTTCCCATCAGTTCTCCTGCATCAACTACCAAGTGCTAGAATTACAGAATTGCACTACCCAGCCTTGTTGTGAAATATTATTTTAACTATGTGAAGATGTGTTACATTTGTTTATGCTGCATTTTTTAATTATGTAAAGATGTGTTGCATTTGTTTCACCTTGCCTGCCTAAGTTCCCTGATTGGTTTAATAAAAAGCTAAATGGCCAATAGCTAGACAGGAGAGAGATAGGCAGGGCTGACAGGCAGAGAAAATAAGTAGGAGGAAAGAAACATCTAGGCTTAAGAGAGCAGAAGGAGGAGAGAATGAAGAAGAGAGGACCCACCCAAGGCCAGAAGCCAGGCAGCCATCAGTCAGACATGGAGACAGCAGGAAAGTAAGATATACAGAAGTGGGGGGGGGCAGCCCCAAGACAAAACATAGACAAAGAGAAACAGGTTAAAATAAGCTAAGGTTGAGCACTCAAAACTAATAATAAGTCTCTTTGTCATGGTTTGGGAGTTGGTTGGTGGCCCAAAAGGAAAAACCTGCTACACAGCCCAGCCTCTTACTAATGTTTATTTGTTCTAAAATAAGAGCTCTATAGCCCAGATGACCTTAAACTTACTGTGTAGCTGAGGATGACCTTGAACTTGGGATCCCCCTTCTTTCATCTCCTAAACACTGGAATTATAAGTGCTAGGTGTGCCTTACCATGCCTAGTTTACTGATTGCTAATATTAAAAAAGGAAAGTTAAGTAAGTATCCTACTCCTCATTTGCATATCTATTGACATCTACTCCCTTCTAACCCCCATGGGACAGACAGAGGTTGACCAGATGTTCCTTTTTTTTTTCCAGACATCTTTAGTGTGATTTCAACTTCTTCCCAGAGTCCACACATAACTCTCTATCTCTGCTTGGGCTGCCCAGTTTGACTACAGTATAAGAAATCACTGGGTCTGCTTCATTTCACAGACTGCTTCTGAAATAATGATCCATTCACTGTATCACGAGGGCCCTGCCACAGCCATAGAAGAAGACAGTCTGTGAACAGGTACCTTTGCTACTCAGATCTCCAGTCTGAACTAAGGTGCTTCATGACTTTAGTTTATGCCCACACCACCTTTCTCCAGTAAAAACTGTTGATTGGATCTGCAAACAGTCCCATTTTTATTTAATAAAAGGCCATAGTTTGTAATGATTTGCAACATGGATATGTCAGACATCCTGTCTGTTATACAGGACATTTGGCATAATAAATGCAGAAGGAAATTTGAAAATATTATTTAAGCTGGTTTGGTCACACTTTCCATTTCCTTTTATTCTTTTCAGCTCAGTCTTTTCATTCTGACAAGGGGTACAGAGTTAGAACTGACCGTGAAAACATTGAAGTCTCTCAGCAGACATGGTATACCAGTGTTCACCACCCTAGTTTCCAGAGCCCCCCCCTTTTTTTTCAAGACAGGGTTTCTCTGTGTAGCTTTGGAGCCAATCCTGGCACTTACTCTGTAGAACAGGCTGTCCTAGAACTCACAGAGATCCACTTGCCTCTGCCTCCCAAGTGCTGGGATTAAAGGCATGCACCACCAACGCCTGGCTGGTTTTCAGAGCCTTAAAAGACCAGCTTTATTTTCTGACTTGGTCCCATGTTTGTTTTTAATGTTTATGTTACATGTGTGGGGATACCCTAAGAGGCCAGAAAAGGGCACAGGATATCCCAAAACTGTAGTCATGAGCTGTTGTGGTCTATCTCTTGTAGGTGCTGGGAACTGAACTTGTGTCCTCTGGATACTCTTCTCTTAATGACTGAGCCATATCTCCAGCCACATCTGTTTTCGAAATGCACAAAGGGAAATGCTGATGTGGCCAGGGGAGAAGATGTCCTTAATGACTAGCTAAGCTGGACAAGCTTGAGTAAGTTCTCCTACCTCTCATCTGTCTTTTGGAAAAAAATAAAGCAAACACAGGAATAGGAGAGCATATTTCCACACATATTCAAAGTTGCTGTTATTATTTTCAACAATAGAATTTCCTCCACAGCATTTTTTAAACACATGACTATTGCATACCTCACTCCAGACAGCATTCATCGGAGTTCACTCTCATCCGTCCTTTGTCTACTGAGAATTCCATCAGCTCTGCTGCATCTATCTCTTTAGTGTTCTTAAACTGTTACTAGACACAAATTCCACCATACAGTGAAATATTGCATGGAGCAACTTGAAAAAGAAAAAACCTCGACACAGATGTGAAGGTCAAGCACCCTAGCAAAGGTTATGCTCAAAGTACCCAACAAGAAGTCAAAAGGAGAGAGACCTAATCAGATTAGAAAACGCCTCTATTGTGTGTGTGGTAGTACATGACTGCAATCCCAAGCCTCAGGGAACAAAATCAGGAGGACTATGAGTTCAAGACCAGTTTAGGCTATATAATAAGACTCTGCTCATCCTCAAAAATAAGTTTCTGGAAACCATATATTATGTACTTCCATACTCAGGGATTCGTCCCATCCCACTTTTAAGCTTCAGAAACAAGATAATAATATTCTGTTGTCCCTAAGAACTGGGCAGAGAGAAAAGTACATTCCAGCACATACATATTCAGGGGAGAAAGTGAAACAACTAAACTATCCCCAGTAATAATAAACTCAGGGAATTTTAATGTCTGCCCAGTGAGCCGCAGGCCAATGAGATGCGGCTATCTTTTGCACAGCACTTTTTGTAGGGCTTTCCTGCCAGGAGGCTGCATCCCATCTCTTGTAACCATGATGAAAGAATCCTTAGTACAGACAAGCCTGTGGTCAGTGACTCCAACCTCGTATCTTTAAGCTGTAAACATTTTACTGATGAGGACCCTGAGTCTGGAGACCTGTGCACGGGGTCTTACTTTGTGAAGCCAGCATGTAGTTCTAAGTTCTCCAACACTCAAAACAAAACTTTTAACAGGCTCTCTAAGCCTCAGCTAGCTTTCCCCTCCTCTTCCCTAAGCAATTAACCCATTTAGTCATTTCCACACACACACACACACAGCCAGTAAATCCTAGAGCAGGCCTGGTCTGTTCCTGAGCCTGGCCTTCACAAGGCTGCACAGAAAGATGCTCACTTGTCCACAATCCTGCCAAGCCTCTGCCACCCACCGCGTCAGTGGTCCTGAGCATCTCCACTGAGCCTATCCAGCTCCCCCAAGCCCAGGCTCCACCTGACCCGCTGTGAGCCTGACCCGCTGTGAGCTCGCGCATAAAGCTCCAGACTCTAGAGGAGGACTCTGAGAGGCCAGCGCGTCATAGGGAGACCCAGCGGCGGCCCGGGCAGGGGTCCTGCCCCCGCGTGGCCACCGCGCACCGCCGAAACTACGCTTCCCAGGCTGCCCCGCTGCAACCGCGCTCCCCGCGCCGCGCCCGGCCCGGAGCCGCCTGTTGATCGCAGTTCTAGTCTGGGGCCACGGCGCCGCCCCTGCTTGTCAGACCCGCTCAATCGGGGCTCTACGGCTACTTGCTGGTCAGCACCTTTCGCTACGGGATGGACACGAGCAAGGGTGAGAGCCTAGGTTGGAAGGGGACTGTCGGGGCAGCCTGTCTGCAGCGCTCGGGTCCGAAGCTCAGCGGCCGCCGCACCCTGCGTGTCCGCGGGAGGATGCTCCATGGCGTGGCACGCGGCCAAGCGCAGCCCGCAGCAGCTTGCACCCAGGTGGCGGGTGCACGGGGAGGCGGGGATGGCGCGGGGCGGCCAGGGATGCGTGTGGGTACCGGTTACATTGTGCCTTGCAGCCCCGCAGCCCCCTCAGCACCGCACTCCACGCGCAGATGCAGAGAGGGCGCGGTCTTCGGTCGCCAGGGGCTGCGGAGCTGGGGTTTTCCAGGTTGGGCTTTGTTTCCCATTTTCTCCTCTCCGGTGAACGAGTGATAAGCTCCCTGAGTCTGCAGCATCTCGCGGCCTCATTTGAGCAGGAGCCTGGGAAGGGAGGACTGGGGTCGGCTTCTTTCCAGAGGTCCCCGGAGCTGTCACAGGACGCTTTAGCCTTCAGAAAGCCGCCCTTTGCAGGTCCCAGAGAATCTTTTTCTTATTCTTCCTGGTTAAAATCATGCTGGTTGGTGCCTTCCCGAGGCTTCCTTGCCTTGGTCCATTGACCTGCAAAAAAATGAAGGTCGGTTTACAGTAATAAAAGGGTTATTTTAAAATGTCAGGAGGTGGGAAGGTGATGCGACTAAAATGCAAATAACAGTAAAGAGGTCGAGAACGCCACCGCTTCTTTGGCTCTTTTTAAATATCTGATTCACCATACGCTTGGGAAAGGAGAAAAAAAGCACATCAGAGGAGGTATTACAAAAGCATGGTTTCTGTAGCAGCTCCACCACCGAGGCGCTGAGGAATTCCGGGCCAGACTGATCGCCTCTCTGAGCTGCGTTCTCCGTGTAAAATGGGGTATTTGGTGAAATGGTTTCTGAACCTCTTTCTTCCTAGATCAAGAAACTGAAATGGCAAGAATGTTTAGCACTTTTACCGAGAGCTTGATGGGGACAGAACGGTTTTCCCTAAAGAAGCTGGAAATTTTTCAGAGCTTAGTTACCCGAGGTGTTTATTTGTTGGTTTATTTTTACCTAATTCCCTCTATTCTCTTCAATCTAGCTAAAAAAAAATATGACAAAGGTTTTGGTTTTTATGTCAACATAAATTGCCAGACCACAGTGGTGGTTTTGTTTGCAGAAGGCAGTGCGATCAGCTGATAAAGGTCGGTGGCTCCCTAGGGCTGGGCCTGAGCTGTCAAATGTGTGTGCTCTACAAGAAGGTGGGGGAGGAGTCTCCAGCAAGAAATAGCAGGAGAGAACATACAGTGAGGGAAGAGGGGATGGTACTGACCGGTTATTGTGTGAAGAATGAATGCACGATAGAAGGACTGAGAGAGGCACTGTACTAACACTGACCTCACCCTCAACCGGTACCGAACCCTTGTGGGGAAGAAGGGGCAGAGCAGGGTTTTCCTATTGTTTCAGAGTGTCTTCCTCAGGGAGAACAGGCCTTTTTAATGCAAAGGTTAGGAAGTCTTCATCATCCCCCCCCCCCAGAGGTCAAGGTGGTACCTCTGGTGAGTCTGCTGCTCTAATAAGAAGACCATCATTGCACCCATGTAGTATTCTACACAAGATGATGCAGGGATATGGGGGACAGCTATCATAGATGATGGCAGTACTAGTAACGGTGGATTGGTGTATGTGGACTTTGACTCCTAGACGAGAAAACGATACCTGTAAAAGATCACCTGGGGGTCAGGACATGGTGGTGCCTGCCTTAATGCCATCTGGTAGGTGTCTGTGAGTTTGAGGCCAGCCTAGTCTATACATAGTGAGTTCCAGGTCAGATTAAGCAACATATAGTGAGACCCTGTCTCAACCTTGCATCCAGAATAAATAAGTAGAGATATTTTGGAGATATTCAAGATACCTGAATATGGACTGCATGTTAGACAACATGGAATTACTGTTCTTAAGTTTAGTAGTATATAGGAGATTGTTCTGATTTTTTTTATTTTAAATCTTTTTTAAAATCCCTTTACTCATTTGACACAATGTATCTTGATCCTACCCATCCCTCCTTAACCCCCAATACATCGCCTTCCCACCTCCACGCCCTTGGTAATGGTGGTAACAGTGGTAACCTACTAAATCCAAAATTGAATGGTCTTGCTGGCTTGATCTGAAGGTCTTGCATTAGTAACCACAGCTGCTGTGAGTTCATGAGGACAACAGCTGTGTCATGTCTAGAAGACAGTATTTCCCTGCACTACTCCCCATCCTCTGGCTCTTACGTTCTTTCCACTCCCTCTCAAGTGATGCTCCCTGAGCTTTGAGGTGGTTGATACAGATGTTCCATTTAGGGATGAGCCCTCGATAGTCACTTATTCTCAGTACTCTGATCATTTATGCGTCTCTGCATTAACTGCTGCCCACTGCTGAAGAGCTTTCCTCTGGCCAAAGTTGAGAGCAGCACTAATGTTTGGGCACAGCAATAAGAATTTAGAAGACAGTTTGATGGCATGTCCACTTATCATAACATCAGTAGTAGTTTTCCCCCACATAGGGCCTATAACCTCCCAAGCCTGGTCTTTTGACCGGCATGAATTCCCTCCTGTGGAGCAGGCCCCAAACTCAGTCAGAAACTGGTTGGCCACCGTTGCACCAGTAAGCACATCTTGCCTAGCGCGTTAGTATTAAAGCATCCAGCACTCTCCATGTGGGTAATCCTTTGGTGATTCTTCTCCCCCAGCAGCATACAAAGCACCTCCTGACAATGAAAGCTTAGGATTTTAGAGGTGAAGCACATTCATCTACAATTCACACAGCAGCTTCAGGGAAGAGCAGTCTATGGTGGTAGAGCACATTCAGGAGCATAGCAGAAAGAGTAATGAGGGCTAGAGAGGTTTTTGCACCACCCTTTTGTAGGACTGTACTTTTTAAATAAGAAATTGGAGGTGAATTTTTAAAAATAAGCAAGCAAACAGGAAGGTCTGTAGAGGGTTGCATGGTTATTGACAGATCACTATGGTGAAACTGACAGAAAGTTCTTAACTCCAAATTCCCAAGCAAGGAAAAAAAATCTTCCCAGAGATGTTAAGGAAGTCAGGAAAATCCACTTCTTTTGGTTTTTCCTAGCTACTGTTGGTTATTTATACTTAAGAGACAAACCCCCTAGCTCTAACTCAAAGTACTGCCATATCCTTAGTATCCATGGGAAATGTGTCATAGAAACCATCCCCCCATCCACAGATTTCAAGCCCTTTTTATGAAATATCATAATATTTACATGTAACCAAATGTATTCTCCACAGATATTTAAAGTTTCTTTAAATTACTTATACCTAATATAATGTAACTATGTAACTTTCTATGTTGTTTCTATGGAATGACAAGAAAAAGATATTCACAGTAGAGATTGCTCTAGGAATAAACTCAGAGTTTCCTCAGAAACAAGTCTATCACTGACACCTATCTTCAGCCCTAATATTCTTTTAAATAATTTGATTGGCAATTGATTAAAGTAGCAAATGTGGAACTCACCCTTATTATTGGAGCAAACTTTGTTAATAATTCCCAACCCTAAATAAGTCTTGCCATGGCTAGGAACTGTCCTGAAAGAACTCTCCACCCTAGTCGTATTGGGGATTGAGATGAGGCCCACTAAGCAATATCCTCAGCCTTCGTTTGTTTGTTTGTTTGTTTGTTTGTTTTCCATTTGTGGTGGTGGTGATGTTGTTTGGTTTTGAATCAGGATTTCTCTGGGTAGCCCTGGTTGACCTGGAGCTCACTCTGTAGACCTGGCTGGCCTCAAACTCAGAGATCTGCCTGCCTCTGCCTCCCTAGTACTGGAATTAAAGATTTGTGCGACCACACCCAGCCTTAGCCTTCTTTTGTTTTTTATTTGAGTCTGGGTCTCAACAAGCCTTTAGCTCATGATTCTTCTGCCTCAGCTTCCTGAGTAGCTGGGTGACTGGCATGCTCTACCAAGACCAGCTGTCTTTTTCCTTTCCACATCTGGGATCTGTGACAGTATGTAAGAAAGTTTGAGAACAACTGGGCATTGGTGGCGCATGCCTTTAATCCCAGCACACTCAGAGGCAGAGGCAGGCAGATCTCTGTGAGTTTGAGGCTGGCCTGGTCTACAGAGAGATTTCCAGGACAAGTTCCAAAACAATACAGAGAAACCCTATCTCGAAAAAGCTTGAGAACACGCTAGATTCAAATGGTCCTTCATTTTACTTTGGGGTGAGAAAATGCTGACAAAATAACTGGTCTAGTTTCTGACAGAACATAAATAATGGAATTCCTTCTTAGTCCTTTTGTGTGTCGATTGTCAATCACATGTAACCTTGTGTAAAAGGTTATATGAACTTATAGACTATATCTGGTTCAGAGAAACTTCTGGAAGGCATGTGCAGAACACTTCCTACTACAAACTAAAAACAAAAACAAAAAATCATGCCCCTAATCCTAGCACCACTCAGGAGGCATTGATGGGAGGCTCATCAAGAGTTCCAGGCTAACCTGGTCTACACAGTGAGTGAGTTCCAGGCTAGCCTGGTCTACATAGTGAGTTCCAGACCAATGAAGGCTACAGCATGAGAGACCCTGTCTAAACTTAAAGATGAATAATAAACAAATGAATAAGATACTGCATTTATCTCTGAGACAGACCCCTTTTGTTCCAGATTAAGATCTCATGTGTGTGTAAAATGGTCATTTAAAGCATGCACATTTACTTGGATATGTGTCTGTCATGATATTCATGTGTGTGTTTTATGATTCTTTCAGCTGTTATGCTTCTAAACGTTTAGAACATTGTTAGTGTTACAAGAGAAAGAACCTACCTAATCAGATCCAAGAAAGCTGGTTTCCTCAGAGCTTTTCATGGGTTATAGTTCTTGAATCTGTAGAATATGGTATGCAATGTTTTATAAGCTATGTGCTAAATATTTATGTTATATAATATATGTACTTCATATGCTATAAACATTATATATACATATATATGCATATATATGAA